CCCCGCCCCCGCCGTCTCACGACCCCGCCCAGCCCCGCCTCACCGTCTCACGACCCCGCCCCGCCCCGCCTCACCGTCTCACCTCGCTGTGTGGTGTCAGACAGGCGTCCATCACCGTGACGACGCGCGCCTCGACGACGGTGTGGTCGACGCGCAGCAGCTGCAGCATGCAGCGCCCCCACGCGGCGCTCCCGTGGGCGTCGCCGTCGCACGCGAGCAGTGAGGTGACCCGCTCCTCCATCCAGCATCGCTCGTCCTCCCGCCCAGCGTCATCGATCGCCTGCCAACAACGCACAACAACCACCCGCCACCCATGTAGGATTAGTCAAACAGCTGGACTCGACTATGGACACGACTACAGCTGGACTATGGGCAGAATGCGAGGCTGCGCTGTACTGCTGATCTGCCAGCTGTTGTGAGAAATCCCTAACCCTAACCTGAGCACTATTGCTAACCCTAGTATATAACAGTGTTTCCCCTGCCTGGCCAAAAAGGTCTGTGAGGTGGTGAATGTTTTTTGTGATGTGTTTGCAAAGCGAGCAGCGCAGGTGCTGGCCAAGCTACGGGGGTCCGGGGGGGCATGCTCCCCCGGGAAATTTGTGAAAAAATGGTGTAAGTTGGTGCATTCTAAGCTATTCTGAACACATTGTATACGACTCTTGATTCTCTTTTTCAAGTTGTCAAAAGTTTCGTCAGCGAGGCGGTGTTTTGGACAAAGTGTTGTGGCGGCTGAGAATTTGAGCAAGGCGGCCCGCCTCGCTCGTGTCAATGCAGGGAAAACACTGTATATAATAGGGGTTTATCGGTTTTTAAAGGTTCCCTGGTATGACAAAAATCGGACATACATCCCCTGTATGATATATTATATTATATAGATGGGCTGCAGCTAGATGGCGCTGCTAGGTGTGGCGCTCACCTGTCCGAACACGGCGCACGCGTGTGCGACGCCGAGCAGCTCAGCCGACGCCGCGAGCCGACACTCCGCATCCCCCGTGAGCTCCACAGCCTCCCACAGGTACCTCAGCATCCTGAAGCCGGCGCTGGCTTCCGCATCCCTGCCGAGGAATGATCCCCTCATAAATAATGCGACATTTAACCGGCGCGTGGTCAATGTTATTATCAGCACTAGTTAGAGCACAAATGCTGCGACTCTATGCGAACTACGTACCAAGATTATTTAAAATCATATTTAAAGTAATTAATTATTTTTATTATAATTTTTTATGATATATTTTTTATAATTTTTATTTTATTTTTATTTTTTTAATAAAAAAAATTGAATTTTACTGGCTCCACTCTCGTCAGCACTTATCTGTATCTCTTCACTCGTCTGCTCATGGTGTCACTATCGCTCACCCGTAGCTCTTCATGAATGCTTCGAGGAAGAGAGGGAGGTAGTCGATGATGGCGTCGCGATCGTCGCCCGCGCCGCATCGCACGCCGGACACCAGACACTGCATCGCGTGGTCGACGTGCTTCGGAGGCTGCAGCTTCGTCGCCTCGGCAACGTAGCGCGCACTCAGGAAGACGAGGTAGCTGTGGGCGTGGTCGCTGGAAGCGCAGACGAAAGAATAGTCTCAGAATACCGTCAGGTGGGATTAGCTCTCCTATCCAGAGGGGACCTATCCCCCACATCACCCCCATCCCTCCCTAACGGGAAAAGTGCACAAATCCGGAAGCAGAGAGTTGCATCCCTGACGAGTATTAACGTGTCCTCTACACACAAGACTAGTTAACAGCTTTTCTTTTTCTTCGACTAGGAGAAGTACATGATACGCCAATCTATGCATGCAACCCCACATGCACGAATGCACCTACACAAGTATACGTCCAAGCACCAACGCACGCACGCACACCCACGCACACCCTCCCACCCCC